CCACATCACTTGAGGTCCTCTGTCACAGCCAATCACCTTCTGGTCACCTGTTTGTGTGTGACTCCGCCCACAACCACCAGCTCCCCAAAGGCAAGATGGAGCTCCTTCATCTCCATATGCCCAGCATCCAGCAAAGGATTTAGCCCAAAGCAGGAGCCCAGCAAGGCTGGGGAATGAATGCCCACATGAAGGAAGTGAAGCCTCCTCTTTTTAAGAAAGTGACCCCAGAAATGCCCCAGGATGCTCCTCAGAGAAGCCAACCCAACCAACTCTGCCCCCTGGTCAAATCTACAGAGCACCTATTCAGCTCCCTCAGGCCTGCTCCACCACAACCCCACCCCGAGGGAAGGAGGAGCAGCCACCTTTTGAGCAAGCATGAGCAGTTCATTTTTAGACTTGTCCTTTTTTCTCTTCCCCATTTTCTCCTGGAGCATCTAGAGCAAATACTTCTTTCCTCTCCCATCCCTAAGACTTTGTAGGGCAAGTAACACCAGCCATACCCAGAGCCTACAGCTAGCATATGGCACAGCACATGCCTGTCTCAGAGTCAGCACTCAAATACTTGGGGAAGGAAGGAATAGAGTCCAGAGTCTAGGTTTCACCAGACATCTGATGATTTATCGATAAGAGTTTGCCAACATTTGGTAACATGACTTGTCTGGGCAGAAGTCCATCAAAATGTTCGCCAGGAGCCTATGCTGAAGACTTTCCCTGTGCAGGGAGCAGACACAGGCATAAAGTAACGCATGCAATAACGAGGTGCATGTTCCGATCAAGGTGTGCACACAATGAAAGTCAAGCAAGCACGAATGGGAGTGGTCACTTGTGCCTAGAAGACTTGAGTAGGTTTCACAAAGGAGGGGAAATCTGAGCTGGGAAATCATTGCCAAATCACCTAGGGAAAAGTCATTGTTTCCTGCCTCCATGACCACCACGGGCTCACCTCCCCACCACCACACTGTTCTGTAATCAGTGACTCGGGGGCCTGTCTGCCTGCACAGTATGTGAGCATCTCAAGGACCAGGACTTTGGGCATTCTCCAGGGCTCTCAACTGCCCAGTAAATACCTGCTGATGAAGAATAAGAGTCTCCTTTAGATTATTAACATAGCAGCTACCCCTTCTGGAGCGTCTACTATGACCTGCTACTGCTGTTAAGTGCTTCACCTGCAGGATCTCATTTCCTCTACACAAAACCTATCATCATCCATTTTACAGATAAGGAAACTGAAACGCAGAAAGATTAGGTAAATTGCCCCAAGTCATACAGCCAGTAAGTGACGGAGCTGGACTTTGAATCATGGGCTGAATAGAAAATCAGTTTTCAATTATTAGCGATCAAATCCTTTTCCTTTCTCTTTCTGTCATCTGCCTTGCATCCAGATATGTGGATTGCCCTTTAGTCTACTGTTCACTGGGATCAAAGCCATTTCTTTCCTAGAGGAGAACAAGGGATGTCTCTTGTTATTCTTCTAAACAATGACTGCTAACCATTACTAAGTAAACATCAGAGGGGTGGGGAGAAGTGGAGATGCAAAATTGTGCTTAAAATATCAGTCAAAAACATTTATTAAGGAGGAACTGTATGTACCAATTGGAACAGTTTCCAAAATAGCTCAACTGAATAAATGAAGAAGCAAGAGCATGTATAGAATGCTATTCTTTGTGAAAGAGAAAGAATATATAATAACCAATAAAATGGTACTAGTGGTTGCCTCTATGGAGGAGGACTGGGAACTGGCATCTTGAGGGAAGAAAGATACTTACTTTACAACTTGTTCCCCTTTGAACTACTTGCCTTTAAAAAAAAAAATCCATCTGTGATTTTTTTACTTCTTAAAAAAAACAAGATAAAACACCATTTAAAGAAACCACTTATTGCCAGGCCTTTCCCAAATACTCACACACATATGATTGCAATCATGAAAAATTATGTATGTTTATGAACAAAAACTGGATGAACTTATTCTGTGGTGAAATAGGACTGTGAAACAACTTTTGTCTTTCATGTTGAGGTTCACTAATTTCACTAATGTTGTTGCAATATTTTTTCTGCAGTAAATAAAATACATTTGGAAGGTATAGATACAACATACATATAAGCAGCAGGGACAATTTGCCACACCTTCTTCTTAAAGTCCCTCATCTGTCCCTTCAATAAGGATTTAACGAGGACCTACTATGTGCCAGGCAAAGTGCTAGGCAAGTGTTTTTTAAAAAAAGAACTAAACCACAGGTCATTAGCTTCCTCCCTCCTGCCTTTCAGGAAAATACAGTGGCATGCTAATTAGAATGCCAGAACTAGGGCCACTCTCGACGTTCACCCAGTCTAACACCATCCTCATTTAGCTAAGAAAACGGAGGACTGGAGAGGGGAAGGGATTTGATCAAGGTTACATAAGAAGTGAAGGCCTCAGCATTACTAGTCCTGCTCACCTTACATGCTACATGCTGTTCTGTTGTGCTCAAAGATGGGCTGGCAGGGAGGGGCAGAGACGGACCCTAACACTGAGTGCCTAATACATCAGGTGCCTGCACATATCTTCTCTCATTTATTCTTCATAACAACCTCTTGAGGTGGGCATGGTTATCCTTGTTTTACAAATAAGGAAACCAAAGCTTTGAGAAGCTAAGAAACTGGTGCATGAGGCTTCAAAAGCAGATCTGTCTGACTTCCAAGCTAGAGCTTTTATCCTCCATACTGAAGACGAAAATCAATTTAAAAAGGTGGACTGGGGCCATATCACAGAGAGCCTTGGATGCAGTATTTTCCATTAATGAAGTTTCTCTCTCAACCCCGGATGCTGTCACTCCAACATGTTCTAGCTCTTGTGTACCACCAAGTTTGGGCCTTCCTTTTCACCCACAGAGCATGACGGTTATCCAAAGGGCAGCAAACTGAGAGCCATTTACACAGTTTCTGCCAGGACAGAATGGGACAACTCATGCATGCTGCTTCTAGACCCTCTGAGGACCTGCCACACATGCACAGGCCCCCGTAAGGACCCATCCCTGAGATGCCATCCCCACGATGCCACTGGGTCACCACCACACCAACTAAGTGGTAGTGAGAGAGGCCAACACCATGGTGGTCGGTCCCCAAAAGACCCGTAGCTTCTAAACTAAAGAAAAATGCAGGCCAGTACAGGCGAAGCCTCCTCCCGCCTTTTCTGTTCATGCAACACAAGTAGGAGGAATCACAGTACAGATTAGTCAAACTGCTAGTAAGCGGAGGCACTGCACAATGAAAGGTCACACACATGGGTATAAGACACTCTGCTGAACAGGAGGGAGTCCCATCAACTCACTTTCTTCTCTTCGCCCCTGTAGGAACCTAATGAAGTTCTGGCATTCTCTTTTCGGCGGCTTCCTTCTTTTTTTTTTTTTAATGTGAGGAAGACCAGCCCTGAGCTAACATCCATGCCAATCCTCCTCTTTTTGCTGAGGAAGACCGGCCCTGAGCTAACATCTATTGGTGGCTTCCATCTTATATGTGGTAAAATCAGGGTTCGTACTTGGATGGGGAGGAGGAATTCCATAAGGCCTAAGCCTAAGCCAAATGCTCCAGTTCAGAGTCCTCACTGGGGTTGGGGTCTAAAGGTCAGCAAACAATGAATGTTCCTCTGCTTTCTATCTGCCATCCCTGCCTGCCAAAGGTTCCCTCAGAGGCCTTACAGGAAGGAGCACTCACCATACAAGACAGGAATGAGTATTTAGGGACTCCCCACCACAAACCTCATCCCAAACTTGAACAAGAAAATGGCCTACTGATTAGAAATCCCCCCCTCTTTAGACCTCCAGTCCCCAAATCCAACCTGCCCATGGCCACACAAGAGAAAGACTCATAACTTTATCCAGTGGTGTGCTCAGTAAGCACTGTTCCATCCTATCCTCACAAGGCCCCTGGGAGGCACAGAGGGAGGTACCATGATGCTCATTTTGCAAAAGAGGGAACAAGACTCAAAGAGGTAAAGACTCTCCCAGGTAACACACAGACAAAAGCTTCTGAATACTCATTCCTGTTCTTCCCCCTCACCATGCTGCCATTTCAGTCTTTCAGAGACGACCACCGTTAAGGTTTGCAACAGCAGCATCTGGTACCAAGAGCCAGCAAGCCAGGACTGTTCATGCTTCGCACTACTCTTCAAACACACACATTTCTCAACAGCTGATCATCCAACGAAAGCCAACCGTCCCCCGATCTAGGCAGGCCCCCTGCAATCGCACCAGGAAAAGCCCCAGAAACGTGAAAAACGGTGCGCCCCACTTAAGGCCCGCCGTGGCAGGAGAGCCGCCAGCCTAGGAACCGGGGCAGCTGAGACCTAAGTCCGACTCAGGAGAGGCACAGGCAGGCCTGGCCGGCCCTTCCGGCCCAGCGGCAACCTTCGAAGTCTCCAGAATCCTCAGAAAGCCCAAAGCTCCTGCTCCCACCCAGGCCCCCCTGAACACCGGAGAGGGCGTCCCTTCTCCGGTGACCACTCACCCTCTGCCCGCTCCTCACCCGGGGCCCCGCTTCCGGACCTGCAACCACTCGGGGCCCCGCCCACCGCCCGTAGGCCTCCCTGGCCCCGCCCCTTGTACCTGTGGTTCCCTCAGGCCGAGCCTCTCCAGCCCCTTCGGCGTCACCTCGCAGCCCCCTCCCACAGGCAAACCTGTGGTCCCACCTGACCCCGCCCTCCGCACATGCAGACACTCGGCCCCTCCCAACTGCCTCCTCCAGCCCCGTCGCCTGCACCTGCGGCCTTTGCGCACCTCCACCCCCACCCCTGCTGTCCTTCAACCAACCCCCCGCCCGACCGGCGCACCTTCGGCCCGGCCCCCACCCCTGAAACCCGCCCGACACAACCCCCGCCCCCCGGCCCCGCCCCGCCTCCCGAGGCCCCTCCCCGGCTCAGCGCCCCTCCCCGGCCCGGCGCCCCTCCGGGTCCCGCCCCCCGCACCTGCAGCTCCCTCCAGCCCAGCCCTCAGGGCCCGCCCCGCCCCGCGGGCCACTCCTCTCACCGCCCGCTCTCGCCACCGCCGCCGCAGTCCCGGCCGGTCACCTTGACGCGGGCCGCAGTGGCTGCCGCCGCCTCCTCATGGCCCTGGGAGAGGCCCAGGCGGCAGCGGCGCCTTCGCTTGGAGGCCGGGGCCGGGCCGAGCCGGGCCGGGCGCAGCTGGAGCGCGGGCCGACGCGAGAGCGGAGCCGATGCCCAGCCGCAGTAGGAGCCGTCTGCTCCTGGGCCTGAGCGGCGGGCCGTCCAGCCAATCGGCGCGCGGCGCCAGACCAGCTCCCCCAACCAGCTCATCGCAGAGGCGGAGACACGCAAATAGACCGGCTGGGCGCGCCACTGCGCAGCCGCTGCAGCTCCGGTTCTCCCTGGGCTCGGCCTCAGCTCCAGCCCGCAGACGCGCTCTCAGCCTGCAAAGATGCTCCGCTGCCCGTGCACCCCCATCAGTGCCCCGCCACGCCCATCCCCTTCCTAGAAATAGCAGTGCATCTCATTCCCCATACATCCTTCCTGGTCTCATACAGTTTTCCCTTGAAATCCCTAGCTAGGATTTATCGTTTTCAACAAAAAATGTTTTTGTGAGAGACATCACGTTAATGCCCGTTCTTTACAATTCAGAGGTAGGCACAGAACGCAGAACGTGAGAGCCAGAAGAAACCTCGGAGAGCCTCGGGTCCAACCCGTTTATTTTACAGCTGGGCAAAATTAGGCCCCACGAGATGAAGGGACTTGCGGAAGACCACGCAAGTGCCAAGCTGGAAATGAGCTTGTCTCTTGCCTCTGCTCCCAGATCCTTGACTCTGTGCCAGGCACCATGAGGTGAGCAGAGAGGTGAAGTCAGTTAATTAAAGTCTCTGAGATAGTAAGTTGCAAAGACAGTCAAAGCCAGGTCTGTGAAGCCCTGGAAGTCCAGAACCACAGAAGGGAGGGGGCTCTATGGCCCGCCTTCCTCTGAATGATTCTCGGACACATAAATAGAATGTCATTTTGACAGTTTTCAAATTCATTTTGCAGTAACATCAGAGTATGAAAAGATTTGGTTACTGTGCTTCCCAAAGCTTATGGAAGAAAAAAAAGAGAGAGAAACAGACAAAAAGAAAGAAAAGAAATAGAGTCAGTGGAAACTAAGCCATTTCTAAGTCTTCAGGGATCTCTGAGTGAAGTTGTTGCCATTTTGCTTTAAGAAAAGGATAACCGTCAAAGAGGATACTTACCTATTTTTCCTTTTTTTTCCGGGGGCGGGGAGGAAGATCAGCCCTGAGCTAACATCTGCCAATCCTCCTCTTTTTGCTGAGGAAGACTGGCCCTGGGCTAACATCCATGCCCATCTTCCTCCACTTTACATGGGACTCCGCCACAGCATGGCCTGACAAGCGGTGCGTCAGTGCGCGCCCAGGATTCGAAGCAGCAAACCCGGAGCTGCTGCAGCTGAGCGCACGCACTTAACCGCTTGCACCACTGGGCCGGCCCCCTTACCTATTTTTCTTAGAGAACAAGAGGCAGTGTAAGGCAATGCTTCCTCTCAGAGCCTCTGGATTCAGAAATGCACAGGGTGAGGGTTGAGTGCAAAAGCTGGGGAGACAGACTGCCTCAGTCCAAACTCTGGTTCTGCCACCAGCAAGCTGTGTGCAGGTGAGCAAGTTACTTAACATCTCTATGCCTCAGTTTCTTTATTGAAAAAGGAGTATGCTGAGAATAGCACCCTCTTCAGAAAGGCTGTTGGGAGGAGTAAATGAGATAATACATGGAAGAGGGCCTGGCACTTAACAGGAACTCAACAAACATTAGCTACTATTTTTTTTACCCTGTGTGACTTAGGGCAAGCACGAAGGAGTTTAGCACAGTGCTTGCAATATATGCTTGCTAAATGGCATCTATTATTTTTATTATGCTCGTACACAGTTTCCTTCAATAAACATAGATTCTTTTGTAATATATCAAAAAATCATTGTAAACCCAGTTTTAAAATGAGTAAAGGATCTGAATAGACAGTTCTTCAAAGAAGATGTACAAATGGCCAACAAACATGTGAAAAGATGCTCAGTTTCATTAGTCATCAGGGAAATGCAAATCAAAACCACAATGCGATACCACTTCACACTCATTGGAGTGGCTATAACAAATAAGATGGACCATAACAAGAGTTGGTGAGGAGGTAAAGAAATTGGAACCCTCATACACTGCCGCTGGGAAGGTAAAATGGTGCAGCCACTTTGGAAGGTGCAGTCTGGCAGTACCTTAAAAGGTTAAACATGGAGTTACCATATGACCCAGCAATTCCACTCCTAGGTACACACCCAAGAGAGTGAAAACATGTGTCCATACAAACTCTTGTACAGAAATGTTCACAGCAGCATTTTTTATAATATCCAAAAAGTGGAAATAACCCAAATGTCCATCAGCTGATGAACGAATAAATAAAATGTGTATATCCATACCATGGAATATAAAAAGAAACGAAGTACTGATACATGCTACAACACAGATGAACCTTGAAAACATGCTAAGTGAAAGAAGCCAGATCACATATGATCCCATTTCTATGAAATGTCCAGAATAGGCAAATTGATAGAGACAGAGAGTAGATTAGTGGTTGTCTAGGACTAGGGGGATGGGAGAATTGAGGTGACAGCTAAGATGTGGAGTTTCTTTCTGAGATGATGAAAATATTCTTAAATTAATTGTGATAATTGTACAACTGTGAATATACTAAAAGCCATTGAATTGTACACCTTTAATGAGTGAATTATATAGTATGTGAATTATATCTCAATAAAGCTGTTGAAGAACAGTTATCATAAAGTCTGACCACTCATGTCACTCCCATGCTCAGACATTATGACAGGATGTGGAAAGGATCTCAGGTGTATCTACTAGGGTTCAGATCACCCACTGCGAATGTGTGATGTGCTGGTGGAGTGGGCCAGCTCTCAGCATCTCATGTGTTTGAGTCACTCTCAATGAGGGCAAGGAACTTCTGAACCACAGGAGAAAAGGAGGGTTGGAGAAGTCACCAAGGGGGATCCCCCAGGCCAGGTGCCTCTGCATAGACTTGTACTTCGTGAAGAGCCAAGCTTTGAGACAGTTCAAGGAGCTGTTTGCTTTAGAGATGCTGATCAACAAGGAAGCTGTGGTATACAAACTCTAGGATGGCCCCCATAATCCCCACCTCCTGATATCCATGGCCTTGTGCAATCCCCTTCCCTCAGTACGGACAGGACCTGAACTGCTTCTAACCAGTAGAAGAAGGCAAAGATTTTAGAATGTATGTGATTATGTTACATAAGATTGTAACCCATCTTGCTAGGAGAGTCTCTTTTGCTGGCTTTGAAGAAGAAGCTGCCCTGTTGTGAGCTGCCCTATGGAGAAGATCACTCAGTAAGGTGCCTCTGGTCAACCACCAGCAAGAAACTGGGACACTCAGTCCAGCAGCCTGCAAGGAACTGAATGATGCCAGTGATCACGTGAGGTCTAAAGTGGATCCTTCCCCTGTCAAACCTCACATGAGACTGCAGCCCCACCAATACTTTGATTACAGCCTTGTGAAACAGAAGGCCCAGCTAAGCTGTGCTAGGCTCCTGACCCACAGAAACTTTGAGATAATAAATGCGTGTTGTTTTAAGCTGCTAAGTTTGTGATAAAATTCTTATGCAGCAATAGATAACTAATACAGAGGCACAACCCACCCTGCCCTGGTGCCTGAGAGGCAGCTTCTGTGCAGAGGCCACCAAGCACCCAGATGTAATAAGGCTTCTGGAATGCAGTGCTCCTCCACATCGTGTGGGGCATCAGGAGACACTGGAGAGGGTATAGAAAAGAACATCATCATCAGGGGTACAGATAGCAGTAGCAAAGGGGCGGTACCGCCAAGGGGAAGCAGCCCTCAACATGGGTAGCAGGGGGAGGCTGGAAGAACAGGAGTTAAGAATGATGTTTTCAGTTTGGTTAGTTCTAGGAAATAATGCTGGCTTTTCTCCTTCCCAGCTGTGTGGCCTTGGACAAGTGGCCAAACCTCTCTAAGCCCCAATTTTTTCATTTATTAGAAGATAATGGTCAGAGTACCTACCTTGTAGGGTTCTCCTAGGGAAAAGTGAGTTAATCCTCTGGTGGCCATGAGAATGTGCCTTGCAGACCTCCAACTATTGGGAGCTCATTTGACCAAGGGCTCAGCTACTGCACTCTGACACCCAACAAAGCATTTGCACTGAGGCAATGCTGCACATAGGCTGCACCCAATTACAGACCATGGCAGGGATTCTAAGGCAGGCATGTCCCTAGGTGACAACGGGACTCCTCTGACAATCATCTTTGGCTCAAGGACCGTCCAACAGCCTTGCTGAACCTCCCCGAGACTGCATGGTAGTGTAGGGGATCAGAAATGGCCACCCCGGGCCGGCCCCATGGCTTAGCGGTTAAGTGCGTGCGCTCCGCTGCTGGCGGCCCGGGTTCGGATCCCGGGCGCGCACCGACGCACTGCTTCTCCGGCCATGCTGAGGCCGCGTCCCACATACAGCAAATAGCAGGATGTGCAACTATGACATACAACTATCTACTGGGGCTTTGGGGGGAAAAAAAGGAGGAGGATTGGCAATAGATGTTAGCTCAGAGCTGATCTTCCTCAGCAAAAAGAGAAGGATTAGCATGGATGTTAGCTCAGGGCTGATCTTCCTCACACACACACAAAAAAAATGGCCACCCCAAAATGCATCTCTTTGCCTTGATTATTTTTAAGAATAAAAGACTCAGAAAGAAATTTTGACCTTCCCCTTACTGCCTAAAAGAATTTAAGATAGAAGGCCTGTTCCAGGAAGGAGCTAATACCGTAAGATAACATTGTCTACAGATGGCCCAGCAAACACTTGTTTAACAAACATTTGCATTTCCATCTCCATGTAAATTGCCTTCCTCCCTGTTGAAGTCCCAAACCACTACCCCCAACATCTTCCTTTGTCTTTAGCTGAAGATGGTATTTAATGTGGCAGCTTCAGCCACTCTGGTGAGTTTCTCATCTACCCTGGGTTTCTCCCATGTATACATGTTATAAAGCTTTGTTTGATTTTCTCCTGTTATTCTGTCTCATGTCAATTTAATTCTTAGACCAACTGGAATGAAGGACCTAGAGGGTAGAGGAATTGCCTTCCTCCCCTACAGTGGTATAGGATGCTTCCATATACTTCCTTCCCTCCCTTTCACTCAGGGTGAGAGTTGCATCACAGTCTGATGGCTCTCTCGACCTTCCTCAGCTCTCTGCCCATTTCCCCTAATAAAGTCCTTGCATGTTTAATCCTGTATTGGCACCTGCTTCTC